TGTGTGCGAGTGTGTGTGTGTGGAAAATATTATTTATTCAGCTTTCAGATGATGTATAAATCTCAATTTTGAAAAATTTACACTTAAAACTGGTCTTGTGCTCCAGGGTCACATTTAAAAACATATCAGCCACTTAAACAGCTTCATTTTGACATTTTAAAAGTGTAACTTAACTAGTTGAACTAGTAGCTTGAGTTTGAAAGCAGCGTCTCAACCCTGCAATCAACACGTCTGGATGTTCAGAAACTGAAGCCGCTCTGCATAAGCTATAGCCTGCGGTTTCGTCTCAGGAGTGAACTCGTCTGTTTTTCCTCCAGCTGAAGAGAGCAGCTGAGAGATTACGCGGCTCGGGATCCGTCGGAGGGTTTTATCTGCTCTCGTTTTCGCTCGAGTGCCGCTGGGCGACGGAGGCCGGAGGAGAAAAGTCATTTGGCACGAGGCCCGATCCTGTCATCCAGCTGTCAGCATTCTGTGTTTCAGCATAACCTTAAATGCTCCTCCTGTGCGGAGCGGGAAAGGTTATGGGCCTCAATATATCGGCTTTGATCGATTCTACGGCTGATAGGCCACCAGTGTCCATCAGATCTTCACTAATAAAGGTTTAAATTCAGTGGTTCTCTATGTTTTGGAGCATGCAAACCATGACAAAGCACTTGAGGAGAAAGCGTCTTGTCTATTTCTGTCTATGTCCTACATCTGCGTTCTGCGGGTCAACTTAACGAGTGCCAGCGCTGTCCTAATTGCTATTCTAATGAAATGAGACCAACCAAAAAAAGACTAAATCTCATCTTAGACGTCGCTCTTCTGACGGTATTGTCATTCAGCTGATGAATTATGATCAACATGCTTCATATCACAGTCTGCATGTGTAAAAGTGACTGCAGGGTTCATTCAGGTGATTCACACAACAGGTGATTAAATTATATAATATTTAATTATATAACCAGTTGCATAAACATAGCCGTCATGTTAAGACTGTGTGTTAATAACTAGTATGGCCGATTAGCAGTTAGCCAAATGTCTTAGTCATCAGTCTTTTAAATTAAATTAAATTAAATTAAATTAAATTAAATTATATTAAATTAAATTAAATTAAAAATAAATTAAATGTAAACATTTCTAAAAAGGTTTTTATTACTTAAAAAAGCTGAAATTAAATTACATATAAATATTAGATGAAAAACTTCAATTAAAAAAACTTGTACAAGAATTAGAAAATATGTCTAAAATAATTTTGTTCAAGCTGAAGTACTAAAATTACTAAAAAAATATATTAATAAAAAATTAAAATTAATAAAAGTGACAAAAGCACAAAAGAAAATTACTGAAACTTAAACTAAAATTAAAATGAAATGTAAAAAAGCATAAATGAATTAATTAGAGATGTTGCTTTGACAACTAATTGAAATAAATATGTCTAAGTTTAAGTACTAAAATCACTAAAAATACAACCAAACTAAATATACATTAAAGCTAAATAGATATAATAAATAATAAATATACATGACAAAAACATATAACAACATTTCTAGAACAAAAAAAAAATCACTTGAAAATTACTGAAATAAATACATTTGAAGTATCACAATGACTAAAACTAAACTGAAAGAAATATAAACTAAAACTATTTGAAAACTGGAAATATAAAAAAATGAAAGCTACTTCAAAATATTAATAAATACTGTAATAGTATATAAACACTCCTAAAATAACACTGGGTTATTTTATCCAGAGAAAAGACAAATTACAAATGATATGTCTTTAATATCTCCTAGAAAGTAATGAATTATTTGCTAAAGTATCCCACTTCTTCTATGTTTCTCCCGAGTCTCAATGTCTCAAAGTGTGCTCAGATTTGCCAAGACATCGCAGAGATTTAATAATGACCTCAAACATTTCTCATCTATTGATCTGAGCTCCTGTTACTGCATAACAACTATTTATGTCTGTTTTTATTTCTCAGTTTCCTCTCATCTCGACTGAAGAATATCAGAGAGACTTGAAGGTGAACTCGGACCAGTAAGAAACCACCTAAAACCTGCTAAAACCCACTCACATCACCTTTGAATCAGTGGTGAGTTCTGCATGGCCACACGCCACCCACATTATCTTCTTGTAATGTATGAAATGGAAACTAGCTATTGTTGAGATGTGTGTGAGCATTCAGACTTTATACCAGCTGCGTCTGAGCTTCACTGACCTTCATTAGTGATGAAGTTCTCCAGCGAGGACCAGGTTCTGTTATTGCAGAAGAAAGTGCTGTTGTTGTATGAAGGTAAGGTGGTGTTGAGACAGTGCGCGGTGCTGCGGACGCATTTCTGCCGCAGGTTCCCCATGAAGAGCTGCAGGCCGATGAGAGCGAAGACGCTGAGACAGAAGACCGTCAGGATCATCACGTCTGCCAGCTTCTTCACAGACTGGATCAGCGCGCCCACGATGGTCTTCAGGCCTGAGAGCAGCAGCGGCACAAGAAGATAATAATGCTGAACTAAAAATGTGATATGCTAATTTTGGGGTAGTTAAAAAAAATCAAACTATTAATTTTTGAAAAAAAAAATTTTTCAGATCACATCAGGGTTGTGCATCATTCAGAATTGGATTGAGAAAGCCTGTTAAATTCAGATTCAATTTTTCAATTTTGAGAATAGAGAATATATTAAATAAATAAATAAATAAATTTTCCTACAGTTTAAGATATTAGACATATTTGGTTGCATCATGCATAAATATAAAAAAATACATATATAAGAATTTAATTTTTACATTTATTTGACTTTTATTTATAATATAAATTTAAATGATCATTTTTAACATTGAGTTGAAAAAGTGTGGGTGACATGAAAAAGGTATAATTTTTAGTCATTCAAAAATAAAAAAATAAAATGAAAAATTATAATAATTTTTTTTATTATTATTTTTAATAACTACACATTTTTATATATTTTCCATGTCACTCCAACTTTTTCAATATGATACATATTTTATTTAAGCAGAAAGAGTGGGAAGAAATGTAATAACATAAAAATAAACACAAATTTGAATGCATTAAAAAACAAGATTATTAAATAAAATAATACAAAACATACAATATAAAAATAATATAATATATAAAAAATTTTGTTGTTAATATCTCATTTTACTACTTTTTCGAACCTACAAATTGAAGTAAACAATAATGTAATTATTACATTTTGTCACAAAACAATTTTTGCTTTGTGACTGTTGATTTTTTTTTGCATTGAAATTTAGTATGTCTTCCAAATCAAATTCCAATTCTACTTCCTGTTTGCCAATTCAAATCAAATGAACACTCGTGAATTTAAAAAGATTCTCAAATTCTGAATGTTGCCAAACCCTGGATCACATCTTAAAATCTGACATTAAAGCATCTGTCGGACCACAAACACAGCACACGACATCAGCTCTGTCTTTACAAGCATTTGTGGCTGCGGGACGCACACAATAAATGTGACAGTTCACAGCAGACGCTTCCGTGGAATGAGAACATGCACTTTTCTTTGGGAATACACATGCATATAATATATGTGTTAGAGTGTGTGTGTTTTTCAGGTTTCACGTGTGTATATATATTTTCTCATTCCATAAGAAGCATCTGCTCGTTGGCTCAGCATGCAAACTGGTGTTCCTCTACAGCTACCCATGCCTTCAACACGTCAATGAGACTTTTGGAGTGAGTTAACTGAACCCCGAGCTCACAGCTGAAGGTGAACCTTCCACCCCGATGGCATTTCACTTGTGTGTGATTGACCTGCAATACAACATGTTGCACCTGGAGGTCCTTAGTTAATTAAGTATGTTAACAGCTGTAATCGAGTGCAAGAGTGCCCATCTAGTTTTTCAGCAGCAGTATTTTTTCCATTCATTTTTCCCATAGGGGTCTTGTTTTAAAGAGTTATGAGCCATGAACCAAACCAAGCAGCTACACGGTGAATCAGAAAACTGCAAACTTTTATTTGAAGCAAAAAAAAAATGTTGTGACTGTGAACTTAACGGCTTTATTGACAGAACTACAATCCCATGACGCATTTCGAAAGACATAATCAAAATACAAATGATGAATATAAAACTATTTATTTAAAGACGTTCATTACATTAATAAAAACAATAATTAATATGCTAATTATATAGAGAGAAAGAGAGAGAGGGCGGAGCTCTTTTGGTGCAACTGTGTGATTGGTTGAATTTTCTGTACGGCATCATGGGTAATGTAGTTTCTCAGTTGTTATTACTTTAAAAATCAGTTGAAATAACGCGAACGGATGGCTTCGTAGCCGTCGTAGATCACAGTAGGTCTGTCTTTAGCGTTTTATGAGTTATCGTTAAAAATCCATTTCCCTAAGGAGAAAATGAATGGAAATTTACTTCGGGAACCAGACTGTTGCACTCAGTGGCAGTTACTCGAACCATTGAGATGAATATCATTTAAACCTGCTGAAAAACAAGCCAGAACGGTTTCCACAGCACAGGTTTTAGAGCGGTTTTGGCCACACAGACCGGCTACCCAGCTAACAGGGAACGTCCTCAGAACGTTCTGGCAAAGTTTTCTCAAAGTGACGAACAAACGTTCCACCGGTAATTTTATCTGGATTTAAACAATGTTCTCAAAACATGAGAACAAAAACATTATTCATACATCGTTCATGGAACCTTCCTGAAACGCTTTAGCTGGACGTTTTTTTAAATGTAACAACTTCTAGAATGTTCCGAGAACATTCAAATGTAACATTCCTATGACGTTCGCAAATGGAATGTTTCTGTAACGTTCACATAACCAAGAAAACTGAACGCTTAGAAATTATGTTTTCAAAACGTGATGTTCTTAGAACATCGTTTTTGTTAGCTGGGCAAACAGGCTGTTTTTTTCTCAGCAGGGAAGCTCTTTGACTTTGATTTGCTGTCTAATCGTCATGTTGCCCAACTCAAAAGTCTCATTTCCTACATTCTGCATTTCCATGTTTCCAAGAGTGTATTGGAAGTGCCGGAAATGTGTTTGGGTCATTTGGTCATCCACTAGCACCGCAGGCCTCGGCGTTTGGCGGCCTCTCACCTGGGATGACTGAGATAGTTTTCAGTGCTCGCAGAACCCTGAATGTCCGTAACGCTGAGACATTGCCCAGGTCCACAAACTCAGTAACATATCTGCAATAAGCGAGAATTGGAGCACAGACAATGACAACAACCCCAACAACAGGCAAACAACACAGTGGGGAATGAAGCAGGATGTCGGGAAGTTGCTGGGAAACAGATGAACTGGAAAACACAGCACGGGAAGAATCGGATGCGGGTCAAATCCTGAGCTGTTGGACTGGACAGTGAGCAACACTTGTGCACGGCTTCAGGAACCGCTTACCTGGGATTACGGAAATAGTTTTCAAAGCGCGGAGGACCCTGAACGTTCGGAGAGCTTGCAGATTGCCTACTTTTATAAATTCAGTTAGAAACCTGCAGAATCAGATTACAGTTATGTGCATAAAAACAACTGAAAGACAAAAAAGGGAGAAAATTAAAACGTCAAACAACCCAAATGATGTACTTTTTGCTCCTTTAAAGGAATAGTTCACCAAAAAATTTTTATAAAAATTTTTACAAATCAAAAAATATATTTTTTAAATCTGAATGGCTTTAGTTCTTCCGTGGCACATAAAAGAGGATTTTTCGCAGATGGTCACAGGGACTATTTTCCATACAATGAAAGTGAATGGGGAAGAATGCTGTACAAGTATCCGTACAAGTATTTTGCAAAATAACAACTTTGCAAAAAAACTCAAACTTATTTGTCAACCAAACACATTTATATTATTTGTTACAAAATTTAAGTATTCATATTTTAAGTCATCCTGAGATTTTAAGTTAATATTTTTAATAATTTAACAACACATTTGCACATTTGGTTCTCAGTTAATGGTCACATGGCATGCATAAAATATTAAAATAAAAATAAATAACAAATATTTAAATAAAATGTTAAAATAATAATAAAAATAAAATAGTTTATCTTTTGTAGTAAGTGTTTTATTTTGATTGCTTTTACAATTGAATTGAATTGAATTGAATTGAATTGAATTGAATTTTTCTGGAGGGGGGATTAAATTTAAAGGTTTTTTGTCTGGTGATGGGAACTAAAATACATGTTTATAGTGTTAATAATTTTGTAAACGTTTCTTTTTACTTTATTTATGAATGTAATAATGTAACACACTGATGCAACTTATTTGTGTGTGTGTGTGTGTGTGTGTGTGAGAGAGTGTGTGTGTGTGTGTGTGTGTGTGAGAGAGTGTGTGTGTGTGTGTGTGTGTGTGAGAGAGTGTGTGTGTGTGTGTGTGTGTGTGAGAGAGTGTGTGTGTGTGTGTGTGTGTGTGAGAGAGTGTGTGTGTGTGTGTGTGTGTGTGAGAGAGTGTGTGTGTGTGTGTGTGTGTGTGAGAGAGTGTGTGTGTGTGTGTGTGTGTGTGAGAGAGTGTGTGTGTGTGTGTGTGTGTGTGAGAGAGTGTGTGTGTGTGTGTGTGTGTGTGAGAGAGTGTGTGTGTGTGTGTGTGTGTGTGAGAGAGTGTGTGTGTGTGTGTGTGTGTGTGAGAGAGTGTGTGTGTGTGTGTGTGTGTGTGAGAGAGTGTGTGTGTGTGTGTGTGTGTGTGAGAGAGTGTGTGTGTGTGTGTGTGTGTGTGAGAGAGTGTGTGTGTGTGTGTGTGTGTGTGAGAGAGTGTGTGTGTGTGTGTGTGTGTGTGAGAGAGTGTGTGTGTGTGTGTGTGTGTGTGAGAGAGTGTGTGTGTGTGTGTGTGTGTGTGAGAGAGTGTGTGTGTGTGTGTGTGTGTGTGAGAGAGTGTGTGTGTGTGTGTGTGTGTGTGAGTGTGTGTGTGTGTGTGTGTGTGTGTTTTTTTATCAGAAAATACAGTAATTGCTAGCTTTTCATCAACTTACAAACCCCTTACAAATCCCTGTTTGGGAAACAACAGTCATTACAGTCATTTAAGGCCCTTTATTTTGTGTTCCACAGAAGAAAGTTAATCACATGGGTCTAAAACAATATTTAGAGTGTGTAAATGATGACAGAATTTTGTATTTTTGCGTGAACTATCCCTTTAAGTTGGACTGGTTTAGAGAGATGGGATGAAGTCGTCTGGATTTTGCAGCTTTGTTTCCATATCAGATTTCATCCTCTCTGGTTATTATCCTGATTGAATTAAATCACACAGGACGGGTAACTGAGTCGCTGCTAATATGGTGACGAGGCCTAGACGGCGCAAAGATATGATTGCGTTACGACGCTGTTCTGTTTCTATAGAAACCTGGTATTCAGTGCTGAGCGTTTATGATTTATCAGCGTTTCGCCGTCATCCGTCTGGCTTTAATGAAGTCAGGAGTGGCTTCTCGCGTTCCTGTTAACATCCCAATACACCCGTGACATACTGACAGCGGCTGCATCTGACGTCTCTGAGACATCCGGTTCAAGGACAAGCGGCCTGTTAAAGCTCGAGAAATAAAGCCATAAAGGCCAACGAGAAATAAGCACTTCATCACGGCACGGCTCACTAAGATTCATCTGAAACCGCTGGGATTTAGACAGAAATTCAGGTGTTTAAAGAGACAGTTCACCCAAAAATTACAATTCTGTCATCATTTACTCACCCTCAAGCTTTTACAAACCTGTCTGAGTTTTTTTTTCTTGTGTGGAACAGAAAAGAAGACATTTTGAAGAATGTTGGAAACCAAACAGTTGACGGTAGCCATTGACTTCCATAGGAGGGGAAAAAAATACTATGGAAGTCAATGGCTACCAGTCTCCAAAATATATTTTCTTGTGTTCAACTGAAGAAAAAAACTCATATAGGTTTGTAAAAACTTGAGGGTGAGTAATTGACATCATTTATATTTTTGGGTGAACTGTCCCTTTAAATGCTGTCGTAAGATGCATAAACATCTTTTTGTTGAGCTGATGGCGAATCCTTTAAGATTTAAGTGGAAGAAACCGTGATTATGGTTTACAGTGACAACATCATGAGCTGAACAACATGAATATGAAAGAAGTAAACTTTAAGTATCATGAGAAAGTTTTTTGATGTTTTCTAACAAAAGAGTTGATTGTGATATGAAAGTTCGCTGGAGGGAATCACTAACAATGAATCATGCTGTTTATCTGACTCATGATTCACTGAACGAACTGTGCTAATCAGGTCTGTGGGTGGTTGGTAAATAATGTAAATACTGTAAGCACAAAAGTCAAAAAGTGTTTAGTGAATTTGCTTGACTGTAAGAACTGAAAACTTCATCCCCAGTCCAGTTTTTTATGTTTTTTGTTTGTTTTTTTATTTGTTTGCATTTATTTGATCTGTTAAATCAGTAAAATATTATTAGAGTTTAAAAGAACTGTTCTATTGTAATTTAATTTAAATGTAATTTATTCCTGTGATGCAAAGCTGAGTTTTTTTACTGATTTTTTCAGGATTCTTTTTTTTTTTAAATGTTCTTCAAAATCTTCTTTCAAAAGCTCAGCATTTATGTGAAATAGAAATGTTTTGTAACATTATAAATGTCTTTATAGTCACTTTTTATTAATTGAATGCATCCTTGATGAATAAAAGTATTCATTTAAAAAAAACAAAAAACATTATTGACCCCAAACTTTTGAATGGTAGTGTAAATTATGACTGTTTTTGGTGGAAGAGACATTGACTAACATTATAAGAGGACAAATAAACAAAATATAAATATATTATATATAATAAATAATAAACATAATTAAAACCTACAAGTTCATATTCTTGTAGGTTTATTGTTGTGTTTTTTCAGTAATACATTTGAATGAAGATTAATTATAATTATAATTAAATTATGTTATTAATTATACATTTAATTATATTCTTTTTTATCTTTAATTCTTATATATATATATATATATATATATATATATATATATATATATATATATATATATATATATATATATATATATATATATATATATATATATATATATATATATATATATATGCACAAGTACTAAAGCCTTCTATAAGACAAAAAAATAATAATGGCACCATTTTAAAAAATCTTTTACCATTTCTGTCTACACACAGGAATCTTTAAAAGTTTATTCCCCAGGTTATTTCAGGTTTTACATTTTCTTTTTAAGTGAACAAGCCAATAACTGAGGTGAAAATTATATTATTGGATGTGAACGGCACTCAATGACACATTCATATGATGCTGTGACTCCAGGGAACGCACCCGCATCCACGCTCTCCTCTGTTGCCATGGCGACGCGTGTTTCGGGATCGGGGTCAAGGACGGGGCAAGCGCTCATAACAATTAATCACAAATATAGACCCACTGCCTTTTCCAGTTCTAGCATCAGCGGGTCAAGCAGCTGAGATTAGGTTATTACAGCTTATTGTTTCATTATCTCTGTAGCTCTGAGTCCTAAACCAATCACGAGGAGCTGTGATTACGACTGGGCGGCACCACCAAAGTCATCTATCACGGTAAAAGCAATACTATATGTGGTAACTGGAAAATATCATAATTGAATGATTTTTTTAAAATAGCTAATAATGGGGTAAGCACTATTTTTTGATAACATAGTGAATAAAATTAAATAATTTCTCTTTTAGTTTTTAGGAATTCCTCTTTTTGGTATTTAGAATTTCTAATAAATTTCACAAATAATGACAAAGAAACAGTGAAAGTGAAATTTAGAAATAGAAAGACTGAAATCGTATTATAAATTTTTTTATTTTTAGGGTCTCACCAGAGTAAATTCACACAATGAAAAAAATCAGATGTGGGATTTACTTTTAAACAATTTTCACTCAGAAATCACTAGTAAATTTCACAAATAATTACAAATTAATAGCAAGTGACAAATTTAAATGTTTTATTTTATTTTATTTTTATTTTATTAAATATTATTTTATTTAATATTATTTGAACCATACTCCAATAACCTTTGTTTTATTTAAAATTTAAAAAAATTTAATTAATTAATTTATTTTTACAGTATAATGATGTGGTAATATTTATTTTTAGATAATATAATGAATTAAGTAATTTATTTTTTTTCTCTCTTTTTTACATAAACTCTCTTTTGTTTTTAGGTTCTAATGCACAGTACATTTATACCCTGAATTTTACTGTAGGATTTTTAAAAAAAAATTCCACTCATAACAAGTTCTCTTTTGGTTTTTAAATAATTTATCTTTTCATTTTAGGGTCCGATCCAGAGTAAATTCACAAACAGAAAAAAACACTGTAGGATTTACTTATTTCACTCATAAATCGCTAGTAAATTTCACAAATGATTACAATTTTTAGTGTCTAAAATCCACAGTAAATTTTGTGTAGGATTTACTCTAGGATTTAAACCATTTCCACTCCGTAGTTGCTAGTGATTTCTCTTTTTGTTTTTAAAACATGAAGAGGTCAAAGGGGTCATAAACCATGAAATGATAACTTACGCCATAACAATCACGCTGAAGTCCAGGCAGTTCCAGGGGTCCCTCAGGAAGGTGAAGGGGTTGATGCAGAAGCCCCGCGCCAGGATCTTTATCAACGACTCAAACGTGTAAATGCCAGTGAACGTGTACCTGAGCGGAAGAGAAAACGGAGGGATGCACAGAGATTCAAACCATGAGGAATCAAAGAAATCCCCCCGGATGACAAACAGAGATCATGAACGGAGACGGGACACAAACATGAAGCACATTCACAGTCCAGCAGCCCCTGTGACATGAATGACAGGCGTGTTTGACATCAAGTCGCTCCTTAATGAACTGCTGGTCATCATCAACATTAAAATCCAGCGCGAGAGACCCTCGAGCAGAGCGGATGGTGACCGGGTGAGAGATGCAGCATTCTGGAGTGCAAAGCTGGTCTAAAAATAAAAGCTAATTCAAAATATTTATATATACTATAATAATATATAAATAATATATAAATAATACTTTTATATAGCAAAGGCATTCACAAATGTATAAGTGTAACCAAAGTGCTCAAAATTGTTCAAATACTTTCTGGGGTCGCTGTATGTGATGTAATGCTATAAATTTGATGTCTTATCTCAGGGTTTGCCTTCATAAGGTGCTGAGAGGTATGACTTCTCGCTCGTTTCAGAAACAGGTGTTGTCATTGCATGCTACGTGCTACAACACCTCTTGACATGAAGATATCAGACGCTGGTTTCACGGTGCAGAACGTCCAGAGGCCGGTGCAGCGTCTTCATTAAAGGTCTGCGTGCTTCTCTACGAGCACACACTGCGTGCTTCTCGTCTCCTACAGTCACTTACACTGTCACAGAGATTCAAACCATGAGGAATCAAAGAAATCCCCCCGGATGACAAACAGAGATCATGAACGGAGACGGGACACAAACATGAAGCACATTCACAGTCCAGCAGCCCCTGTGACATGAATGACAGGCGTGTTTGACATCAAGTCGCTCCTTAATGAACTGCTGGTCATCATCAACATTAAAATCCAGCGCGAGAGACCCTCGAGCAGAGCGGATGGTGACCGGGTGAGAGATGCAGCATTCTGGAGTGCAAAGCTGGTTTGTTTCTCTGTTCGTCTTTCTCTTCCTAGTTTGACTCAGCTCAGTGTATTTGCGAGTAGATCTGGTTTTGGTCTGTATCGTACCTCTCGTCACATCTGAGTCTCGTGCAATCAACGTGCATTCGTTAATGTGCCTTTTGTTTTAGATTGCATCACTTTCACAAACAGGCCCACACGGAATTCAAATCTGGGCCTGTTCATGAGATGCAAAATATTGCTACATACATACAGTGGCCCTAACATGTGTTTACATACTTTTTAGCCACACTTAAAAATATATGCATGGCATTGCATTATACAAGAAAATATAAAAACAAGTGATATTTAAATAGCATTTACATTCGCGCACATATGTCTGTGTTGTTATTGTTTAAAACTAATAATTTTTGTTAATTTGATATTAACTGAAATTAACTGAAATAATATATTTCATTATTTATAATTAAATATAATTAATTTATTTAAAAATGCTCTCTCTCTCTCATTCTCTCTCTCTATATATATATATAATTTAATTTTTTTAATTAAACTATTAAAAAACTATTAAACACTAATTAAATTATTTTTGTTAATTGAAATTAATATATAATAAATTATATAAATAAAATATACAATTATTTTATAATTCAATTATCAATTTATAATTTATATTTAAATTAAAATGTGTAATATTTATAATTAAATGAAATTATTTTGAAATATATGAATGAATGAAAATATTAAAAACGTAAACTGACTCAACTAAATCTGATATAAAAAAAAATAAGGTTAAAAAGAGACATTAAAAAGTTACAGAAAGTAATAAAAAATTTTGCATACTTAGAATCTTCAGAGATCTAAAACTAAACTATTAAACTGTTTTCTTTATTTAAATAAAGCTGACATAAATAAATCATAAATATCCGATGAGAAAAAAAACTTTAGAAATGTTGTCTTTGCATCTACCTGAAAAAAGTACTACAGCTACTAAAACTAAAATAAATTTAAGCAAAATAATATTTATAAAAAACAAAAGCTCATAAAATTGACAAAAGCACATAACAAAATTATTAAAACTGAAACTAAAATTAAAATGAAAACTAAAAATCTAAAAATAAAAGCTAATTCAAAATATTTATATATACTATAATAATATATAAATAATATATAAATAATACTTTTATATAGCAAAGGCATTCACAAATGTATAAGTGTAACCAAAGTGCTCAAAATTGTTCAAATACTTTCTGGGGTCGCTGTATGTGATGTAATGCTATAAATTTGATGTCTTATCTCAGGGTTTGCCTTCATAAGGTGCTGAGAGGTATGACTTCTCGCTCGTTTCAGAAACAGGTGTTGTCATTGCATGCTACGTGCTACAACACCTCTTGACATGAAGATATCAGACGCTGGTTTCACGGTGCAGAACGTCCAGAGGCCGGTGCAGCGTCTTCATTAAAGGTCTGCGTGCTTCTCTACGAGCACAAGCCTCGTCTCCTACAGTCACTTACACTGTAGGTCACATTCATCTCAATACGGCAAACTGTGTGAGCTGCGTGGGAAAACATGGGATAAATCCACTCTATCCGGTGGGATGTACGTACGCATGGGCTGACTTCTGCTGGCGTGCTGCGGCCCTTACTGAAGCTGGAGATGAAGGACAGACAAACCCAGAGACAGACAAGCAGATCAACTGACAGACGACCGGACGATGAGTAAACCGAGAGCTGCACATGAGCGCGGCAAACACACAAGCAGAGAGACACAGAGATACATGAGCTGAAGAAGAGCTGGCAAAACCACACAGAGAGAGAATGATACGCTTATTACAGGCAACCCATCAAACCATACAGAGAGACAGAGACAGAGAGAGAGAGAGAGAGAGAGAGAGAGAGAGAGAGAGAGAGAGAGAGAGAGAGAGAGAGAGAGAGAGAGAGAGAGAGAGAGAGAGAGAGAGAGAGAGAGAGAGAGAGAGAGAGAGAGAGAGAGAGAGAGAGAGAGAGAGAGAGAGAGAGAGAGAGAGAGAGAGAGAGAGAGAGAGAGAGAGAGAGAGAGAGAGAGAGAGAGAGAGAGAGAGAGAGAGAGAGAGAGAGAGAGAGAGAGAGAGAGAGAGAGAGAGAGAGAGAGAGAGAGAGAGAGAGAGAGAGAGAGAGAGAGAGAGAGAGAGAGAGAGAGAGAGAGAGAGAGAGAGAGAGAGAGAGAGAGAGAGAGAGAGAGAGAGAGAGAGAGAGAGAGAGAGAGAGAGAGAGAGAGAGAGAGAGAGAGAGAGAGAGAGAGAGAGAGAGAGAGAGAGAGAGAGAGAGAGAGAGAGAGAGAGAGAGAGAGAGAGAGAGAGAGAGAGAGAGAGAGAGAGAGAGAGAGAGAGAGAGAGAGAGAGAGAGAGAGAGAGAGAGAGAGAGAGAGAGAGAGAGAGAGAGAGAGAGAGAGAGAGAGAGAGAGAGAGAGAGAGAGAGAGAGAGAGAGAGAGAGAGAGAGAGAGAGAGAGAGAGAGAGAGAGAGAGAGAGAGAGAGAGAGAGAGAGAGAGAGAGAGAGAGAGAGAGAGAGAGAGAGAGAGAGAGAGAGAGAGAGAGAGAGAGAGAGAGAGAGAGAGAGAGAGAGAGAGAGAGAGAGAGAGAGAGAGAGAGAGAGAGAGAGAGAGAGAGAGAGAGAGAGAGAGAGAGAGAGAGAGAGAGAGAGAGAGAGAGAGAGAGAGAGAGAGAGAGAGAGAGAGAGAGAGAGAGAGAGAGAGAGAGAGAGAGAGAGAGAGAGAGAGAGAGAGAGAGAGAGAGAGAGAGAGAGAGAGAGAGAGAGAGAGAGAGAGAGAGAGAGAGAGAGAGAGAGAGAGAGAGAGAGAGAGAGAGAGAGAGAGAGAGAGAGAGAGAGAGAGAGAGAGAGAGAGAGAGAGAGAGAGAGAGAGAGAGAGAGAGAGAGAGAGAGAGAGAGAGAGAGAGAGAGAGAGAGAGAGAGAGAGAGAGAGAGAGAGAGAGAGAGAGAGAGAGAGAGAGAGAGAGAGAGAGAGAGAGAGAGAGAGAGAGAGAGAGAGAGAGAGAGAGAGAGAGAGAGAGAGAGAGAGAGAGAGAGAGAGAGAGAGAGAGAGAGAGAGAGAGAGAGAGAGAGAGAGAGAGAGAGAGAGAGAGAGAGAGAGAGAGAGAGAGAGAGAGAGAGAGAGAGAGAGAGAGAGAGAGAGAGAGAGAGAGAGAGAGAGAGAGAGAGAGAGAGAGAGAGAGAGAGAGAGAGAGAGAGAGAGAGAGAGAGAGAGAGAGAGAGAGAGAGAGAGAGAGAGAGAGAGAGAGAGAGAGAGAGAGAGAGAGAGAGAGAGAGAGAGAGAGAGAGAGAGAGAGAGAGAGAGAGAGAGAGAGAGAGAGAGAGAGAGAGAGAGAGAGAGAGAGAGAGAGAGAGAGAGAGAGAGAGAGAGAGAGAGAGAGAGAGAGAGAGAGAGAGAGAGAGAGAGAGAGAGAGAGAGAGAGAGAGAGAGAGAGAGAGAGAGAGAGAGAGAGAGAGAGAGATACAGACTGACAGACAGACAGATATAGATAGATAGATAGATAGATAGATAGATAGATTTAACCCATGTTCTTTGGCAAAAAAAACACTGTATTGTCCAAATTCATGTGAGGGTTAATTTCTTTTATAATTGCCTTTATATTCCTTTGACAACATTCCCTTTAATGAATCTTTCTGGTGCCAGTTAATGTCGCTTTAAGACATCCATACCAAGAGTTCATTCTGCATGGCAAAGGTGCAAAATCAGCACAGTCATGGTTCCGGTGCAGTCAGATCATTAACTTACTTGCTAATTGAGGTTGACAAGCCAACAAACACCTGGCAAAGCTTTACGTCGGAACAAATAGGGTACATTTCAGAGGTCAGAGGTCAGTACACTGAGAGAGAGCTGGGAGACAGGAAAAAGAAGAAGGACAGGAACGCTGCAGAAGAAGATGAGAGCGATACTCACTCGACGTATTTGGCCCACTGCGCAGGTTCAGACATGGCCATGAAGCAGCAGTTGGTCAAAATAGTGCACATAATGAAAAGACTGAATAAAGTGCAACCGGTTAAGGACAACAGTAAAAAATAAGAACATTATCCTTTTTTTTCCATAGAAAAACAATGAAAACTCTTTAATATAAAAAAATGTCCTATACCATAATGGGATCAAATAGAGAGCAAATGAAGATTTTTGCTTCTCAGATGTTTCTCCTGAATAAGTGACTTCTGTAATAATTAATAATGGCTCAAACTGTGCTCAGATTTGTCAAGATACCAAAATTTGCAAGTCATAGATCTCATTATGGATAATAATCAGAGCTGATCCACATTCATTTTATAGCTCTATTTTCTTACTGTACTACTAATGATTAATTTGTGTGTTTTTATTGCCAACAATATTTCATTTTTGAAAGAAACAATCTTCAGTGTTATATATGTATTCTAGTTTTTTTTATATATATTTATAATATTTACAATATTTGTATTAATATTAAAGAATATTTATTTGAGATATGTACAATA